CACCTTTTTCCAACCTCTGATCTTCACCGACCTGAAATACGACCCCCCCCCTTTAAAAAATTCAAATACGATTCTCCTCGTTGAGACTACGCAATGCACACTTCAGCCTGCATTGGCTGGTCCCAGCAAGCTATCCTATGGGCGAAATCGCATCCAAAATGCCCCTGTGATTCAGGATAGAAGTAGGATTAGTGGTGTATCTCAAAGAGGGAATGATCACCGCCGGATGCCTCATGCTTTTGTGCTTTGACGACCCACGTATCATGTGAAATGTGGTGGATAACCTCTAAACCAAATTGATGATCCCATCATGGCTGGGTCATACATCGGTCCCTCTGACTAGATAAATCGCTGCTGAAGAGAGACATGATCGTGTTTTCAGCGCTTTTCTGGTGTTTATTTCGATTTTCATCCGAATTCACTGATTTTTGTTCTGGAACACACATAATGACTTGACCCGTACCTTTTCCGGTCTTTTCCCCAGCTGCGCTGCATTATTTATGGCGAACGCGCGTATAATAACGCGCGCCATTTTGCGTCTTCATTGTGATGCCGCGCCAAATTTGAAAAACTGATTAATGCGATGATAGATCGTCGTTGGTTCATCAGGGCAAATGGAGCGGAATACCGCGAAGGGTAATGCGGAGAAACTTGAACTGGAAGATTCTAGAACGCTTCACTGGATCTGAGACAGCATCAAGGGGTGATGTGGAGCAATGGCTTGAGGCGCCACATGTCTCCTACACAACCCGTAAGATCACATCTTGTCCTCGCCTAGCTGCCGCTCTTTTCTCTACGTGCGCAGTTACACACCAACCGAACTCGAGAGGATAGAATTTTCAGAAGGAACTACCAGTAAATCTCGCATACTTTCGAATGGGCTTAGAAATTCTCCTGACGTTTCTACAATTGCAAGTGGGTACCGCATGCGTGGCGTGTCCTCGGAGGGATTTGATGCTTCTAATTGCATTGCCTTTAGTCTTTGTAAGGCGGTCACTGTGCCTTCCCGCCTTCTCCGCTTTTTATTTTGCCATTAAAATTCTTACCTTATTCATGCGC